GTATTTTACTAAAAATTGCAGTCACCATTTACTCAAGTCTAAGACTAAATTTTCAAAATATTAATTTCTTCAAAATAAAAATAAGGCATCTATGTGGGGAGAGGGTGTGGGTGGGTGGATATTTTCTGAATGAGTATTCATGAGGTTAGAATGTTTGCAAAGGAGTAGGCCCGGTAAGACCCGTTTTGGCCCCAAAATATAGCATTTTTACAAATTTGTCAAAATGTTATTTTTAGCTATTTATTGGAAATTAGAATACTTGTGATCCATAAATATGGGCTGTTTTTTACAAAACAATGCACATGCATTAGGTAAAAGCATAATACATTCATGCAATATTACTGAAATCTTCACAATTTGACCATTTGTGCTAATTTTAAAACATTTTTTGCTAAAATGGAAGTGGCCACATTCGTGTTCATTCTTAATATTCAAATATATGTTGTATTTTGGTGATAATACATAACATATTTAAAGGCTGAGACTAACCTTGGACAGACATATTGACAACATAGTGGGTAAAGGCAACAAAACACTAGGCTTCATACGAAGAAAATTAAAAGATTGCACTAACTTGTGTGACCAGTTAAAGCAGCAGCATATTTAACAATAGTAAGACCTTCAGTTGAATATGCATGCACAGTATGGGCCCAAGAAATGTACAGTTTGAGCATATCTGACTTGCTGAAAAGGATAAGCAGGACAAGTTCTGTCTACAATAACATTTTTTACTTTAATATGGTGTATAATTAAGTCAACATGACCGAGATCATTAATTGACCCTGTAGAGAGGTGTTTGCTCTCGTAAGAAGATTTTTACCAATTTTTGTATTTATGTGGAAACCAAAATAGAATGAGAGAGTTTTCAGCACAGTAAGATCTTCAAATAGGACTGACTGGCCTAAATTGTCAACAAACTATTTACATATTTATATTGCAATTTCAACACATTTTGGGGCATTTGAAAAAAAATATAAAGTAGATAGAGAGAAACTTTATAGAGCAAAAATAGTCAGCATAGTGAAATCTACAAGAAAGACGATATGGTTGAAATCGTCAGGTTCCTTTCAGGAAGTATGATTTTATCAACTATCTTGAAAACAATAAAAAAACCGTTAAAAGATGAGTAGAAACAGAATTCACTATCACTAATAGGAAATCTACTAAAATGCTGCAAAATAAGAAGTTAAAAAAAGCCAACATAACGGATCCCAATAGATTTAAAATAAATCTAAAAATTAACTGGTCTTGAACATGCATGAAATATATGCCACTTGACGTTTAGTAACCACGATCTATCAATTAAAATTAAAAAATTTTACCAGGTGAACGATTCAGGTTCCTGTTTATTTGTTCAGTGCTCTGGGGTGTCCATCTGATATAAGTCATTTGTATTTGACCTCATTTTCATTGATGACTTTTAGCATAAATCTTCCCCAAGATTAAGTCATTGAAAAACTTTAAAGGGACTACCACTAACGGTAAGTTAAGTGAAATTTGGTATGCAATTGAATTAACATTACCAAATCTCGTTCCATAGAGATTGTTTGGCACTGCACTCCACTTTTCTTCCTCAGTCATAAAGAGAGAATTGTTTGCTTCCAAGTACTAGTTGATCCTTTAAATACACTTATTCTAAAAGGTTATCAATTCAACACTGTAATTAGATCATGGAATATTGTTTTAATTGGTATTAATATTGATTTTGTTCTCAGTAAATTAAAAGCAAACTAAATATTATTGTTATATACATAAAAAATTATACACATTCATGGATATTTATGTGACCTGTTGATACTAATTGTATTGCTTTTTTGTTATTTAATGATATTCAGGGTTATAACTGGTCTATATACCAGCTTTGATAAGTGTTTGGTATAACTATAAATTTTCACTTCGTACTATGAACATCAAAATTATTTATTTTGTAAAAATATTTCCTTTCTCTATTGGTACTGTACACGTATACCTAACAACTAAATTATTTTCATTTACTTGTGTTTAAAGTTATTGCAAATGGCTGATTTTTTTGTTCGAGCATATTGTTTTTCTTTAATTGTTTAACATTTCTTACCGATATAACATGTTACTTTTATTATTCTTCCCTTAGTTTATTTATTTTGTATTTACATTGTGTCATAGGTCAAATTTATTTGTTCAGTGTATGTTCAATGGTGTTAATATGTCCTTTGATTGAGTTAAGCTATTTCAGTTGATATTTTATAGTGTGTCTTTCTATGTTGTGATGTTACACTATTGTTTCAGAAAAAGGGTGAAGGTTTGGTACCATTAAAACGTTTAAACCCGCTGCATTTGTTTGCACCTGTCCTAAGTCAGGAATCTGATGTTCAGTAGTTGTCGTTTGTTGATGTGGTTCATAAGTGTTTCTCGTTTCTCGTTTTTTTTATATAGATTAGACAGTTGGTTTTCCCGTTTGAATGGTTTTACAATAGTAACTTTTTGGGGCCCTTTATAGCTTACTGTTCGGTGTGAGCCAAGGCTCCGTGTTGAAGACCGTACTGTGACCTATAATGGTTTACTTTTATAAATTTTGACTTGGATGGAGAGTTGTCTCATTGGCACTCATACCACATCTTCTTATATCTATCTTTAATCTGTCGATACCTGCACTGCACTAGGTCTTGTTTTTCTCTGACTGTTTATGACATTTTACACTAAATCCATTGGCGGCTGGGTGTGTACTGATTGGTAGTTTAGTCTTAGATGCATGATTTTTGTCGAGCCTGCAACTTTTGTCGCAGAAAGCTCGACATAGGGAAGTGATCCGGCGGCTGCGGCGGCGGCGTAAGCTAACTTTTTAAAAGCTTTATATTTTAGAAGGTGGAAGACCTGGATGCTTCATACTTAGTACATGCCTCATGTTACGAAGTTACTGTCAGTCACATGTCCAATGTCCTTGACCTCATTTTCATGGTTCAGTGACTACTTGAAAAAAAAAGTTAAGATTTTTTGTAATGTTAAATTCTCTCTTATTATAAGTAATAGGATAACTATATTTGGTATGTGCGTACGTTGCAAGGCCCTCATGCCCGTCAGACAGTTTTCACTTGACCTCGACCTCATTTCATGGACCAGTGAACAAGGTTAAGTTTTGATGGTCAAGTCCATATCTTAGATACTATAAGCAATAGGTCTAGTATATTTGGTGTATGGAAGGACTGTAAGGTGTACATGTTCAACCGGCAGGTGTCATCTGACCTTGACCTCATTTTCATGGTTCAGTGGTTATAGTTAAGTTTTTGTGTTTTTTTCTGTTTTTCATATACTGTATATATGCTATAGGTCTACTATATTTAGTGTATGGAATGATTGTAAGGTGTACATGTCTAGCTGGTAGGTGTCATCTGACCTTGACCTCATTTTCATGGTTCTGTGGTCAAAGTTAAGTTTTTAAATTTTGGTCTTTTTATCTAATACTATATGCAATAAGTCAACTATATTTGGTGTATGGAAATATTTTATGATCTATATGTCAGTCGCTCAGATTTAATTTGACCTTGACCTCATTTTCACGGTTCATTGATCAGTATTAAGTTTTTGTGTTTTGGTCTGTTTTTCTTAAACTATAAGCAATATATCTGTTGTATGGAAGAATTGTTAGCTGTACATGTCTGCCTGGCATGGTTCATCTGACCTTGACCTCATTTTCAAGGTTCATTGGTCAATTTTTAGTTTTCTGGGTTAATGTTAAGTTAATGTGACAGTTGTTATAAAGCTTTATATTTAGGACTATCAACATAATATCAATGATTAGTAAAGAAGGCGAGACATTTCAGCGTGTGCACTCTTGTTTTAATAGGTTGTTAGTGGCTTTTAACTACCTGTCAGTAACTGCGAGTACTCTAAGATCTGTACTTAGTTTCCTTATGTTGTTGGAATATACAAGTACGGCCACTTCCACCCTGTGTTTTTGTTAGATGTATTTTTATTTGTATCCATCTGATGAGCTAAACCTTTTTCAACTGATTTTTATAGTTCGTTCTTATGTTGTACTGTTACACCATTGTCCCAGGTTAGGGGAGGGTTGGGATCTCGTTAACATGTTTAACCCAGTCACATTCTGTATGTATGTGCCTGTCCAAAGTCAGGAGCCTGTAATTCAGTGGTTGTCGCTTGTTGGTGTGTTACATATTTGTTTTTCGTTCATTTTTTTGTACATAAATTAGGCCTTTAGTTTTCTCGTTTGAATTGTTTTACATTGTCATTTCGGGCCTTTTATAGCTGACTATGCGGTATGGGCTTTGCTCATTGTTGAAGGCCGTACGGTGACCCATAGCTGTTAATTTCTGTGTCATCTCTTGTGGAGAGTTGTCTCATTGGCAATCATACCACATCTTCTTTTTATACGCCCGTCAAAATTTTGACGGGACGTATTATGGTATACAAATGTCCGGCGTCCGTCTGTCCATCTTCCGGCGTAAGTTTTCGTTCTTTCTTGCTGTGTGGAAAAAAAATCTCAAACAAGAAAAATTGTTCCAAAGTTTCTATAATCTATTGTTCATGAACAATGTAAAATGCTTTTTTTAAAGGCGATTTATTTATCAAAGACAAACTATGAATCGTATAAATAAGCTTTGATTTAGGGACGACATCAAAAGATCAATGTAAGATAAAAAAAAAACTTAATTCAAATATTTGGGGGTGGGGTAAAAGTGCTGCAAGTTTTGTTTATTTAACATCGATTTTACATATATATATCTGTATTGGTCAATCAACTTGATTTTTCCCAAATTAAGTTAAGAGGGGGTACACATTCATATATTACTACATATATATATATATATATATATATATATAAAACGTTCAGTATGAGGTTCTTATTTCTCATATAAGATACGGGATTCCAATTTATTTTCCGTTGTTTATAAATTACTATTATATTTCAAAAACATGATAATCATATATATGATGAAAATAAACTTTTATTCATCCAGTAAAATACAGAAAGTACACGACTACTATACAAATAAATTGTCTAATCAGAGTGCTTCTACTTTTTTAGGTTTTCGAATACAGGAAAACAGTGATTTGAAAAAATCTCGGAAGGTTGATTTCTTAGCCATGTGTGGTCCATCTGAAAACAAACACAATCAATTATTATAAAAGAACTGGGAAAAACAGTATTGTTTTAAAACTAAAAACTTAATTCTAACATAATACGCATCTCCACTATGATGTATGTTATGTTTAGTTTAAACATATTTTATTTGCAAGAATAGCAAAATGGATTGGACACAAGTTTTAACAACATTAGAGACGTCCTCTCCCAATACAAATATAAATACAAAACAATCATTTAAAATTGACAAAAACATGACAGGAATGTATGTACTACAAAAACCAAATACCAGGGAAAAATGCAATATGAAATATAAGATAAAAGTAAATTGGAGTTGAGTGAGTGAGAAATCGAGTCTTACTTCATGCTGCATGGAGTTTAAAAAGAATAATGTTTGGAATTAATTTCCATTCAATAAAAAAATTGTAAGGGGTTCCGCAGAACCCTGTGTTTCTCCTACGATTGCTGCTATCAGTGTAAAAGTGTAATATTGACTTCAAAAGTTAGTCTATTTATAAGTAAAATACAGAATTTTAATAAGATCAAACTTTTTTTAGATGCTATTTCATGGTCTTGAAATTAACTTCTGTCCAAGTTTCATAACAGTCCATGAAGGTTTGCAAATTTATCATGTCAAAAAAGTTTAATCCCAGACTGTCTGTAAAAGGTAACTGTAAAAAATAAGTCGATCTATCAGAAAAATTCTGAAAATGAAAAAAAATATATATTTTCAAAGTTTGCCTCAGACATTATCTCTTAATCATTAAAAAGCTTTAGTAATTTAGGTGTAACAAATTTTAACCCCAGACTGTATCTACTTGTTTTAAAAATGTAAAAAAAAAAAAAAACAAGTCCATTTATCAGTTAAACAAATAAATAATAAATATTTTCAAAATTTACCTCGGAACATTGTATTTTGGTCATAACTATAAGCATCTGTTAAAATTTCATAAAATTGTTGAAGGTTTGACAAAGTTATTGATGACTAAAAAAATTTAACCTCAGACTGTATTTACTTGTTAACTGTAAACAAAACAAAGTCAATTTATCAGTAAAATACGGAAAAATGAAAATAAATATTTTTAAAAATTTGCTCTGGATACTGTATGTTGGTCATAAACAAGCTGCTGTCCAAATTCCATGAAGGTTTGACAAAGTTATTTATGTCTAAAAAAAACTTTAACTCCAGACTGAGCCTAAATGTTGACGCCACAGAGGCCGATGGCGAAATCTAGGATCGCCTTGTCTCGCTTTCGCGACATAAATGTCGCTGGCTCGATAAAAACTGTATTCGCGTATTTTTTCATGGATGGACATGAGGACTGTTGTTAGGCAAACATTGTCACTCTATACTCAACATACACCCCCTTACCAGCATATATCAGAGTGATACCATTTTGGCTTAGAAGATATACGAATCGATGCATTATTATGCTTTGTTGGTTCGTAAGTGTTGTTCCTTATAGGTTAATCAAACCAGCAAAAATACTTGAACCGCCTTGTTTTAATAAGATGTTTCTTTTACCTGTTTTTTGTTTCTTTTTAGATTGGCTATCCTCCGTCTGTCTTCTTTTTTTAGCATCATTAAATAAGTTATTTGTTCCTGTTCCGTTTCTCTTTTCTTCCTTTATCATTACTTTTCTTTCGTTCTTGTCAGGTACATCAAGTACAATCTCTTTCTGTCGAAAATATTTAACTCGCATTTATAAAAAGAAAAAATAAAGTGACGAATCACTAATATTATAATTTAGCCTATTTTTCTCATGCATTATAGCATTTATTTTTTTCTCTAATTTCTATTGAATGTCCACACGTGGAATTAAATTAAATGTATAGATACATGTATCCGTGTATCTATTTACAAATATGTAAATAACACTCATTTGTCATGAGTTTACCCAAGGAGGTTATATGAGGATGTGTAATTGGGACACAGTCTCCCTCTGCGACGAAGTCGATCTCAACTTATTAACACCCACTTACAGAAAAGGCGGTAACATTTTATGTGTAATTATCGTCTTTCGTCCTCTCTCCTTCTCATATAACCTCCTTGGTTTACCATACCCTCTGGACAAAGATGTTTATTGGGGGAGGAGGAAACTAGCTTACCTTCACCAGTAACTCTCAAAGCCGAATATTTGAAAGCCAAGGATGTATAAGAACAGAAATGGTTGAAGAGCTATATGGCCAGAAAGGACCTATATTCTAAAATATTAGCCAAATCCATCTAAGTTCAACTTTGCCTGATGCAGTTGAAACCTTAATTTCGTGTTAAAGGCCGTACTTTGACCTATAATGGTTTACTTTTACAAATTGTGACTTGGATGGAGAGTTGTGTCATTGGCACTCATACCACATCTTCTTATATCTATCTTAATAATTTATGAATTTATAAACGAACAATTCAAGAAACGTTTCTTAAAAACTCATGTCAGTTCCGAAGTACTGACTACTGAGGATGATACCTTTTGGGAGGACTGATAGTCCACCAGCACAGGTATCGACCCAGTGCTGTAAAACATGAAAACAACACTTAATAAAGTTCATGCGTCTGAAGCGCTTTTCTGAAGCATGTAACACTTGCATATTTGCTTGATGTGAGCTATTTCTATATATTTTCCCTTACATCAACACTTTATAAAATGTTAAGCGTCAATTTTAGCTCTAACTTCTTTCTTCGTTTTAGGAAAGAAAGGAGGGAAATGTGATATTATTGTGTCAAATGTGATATAAGTGTGTCAAATGTGATAGTTAACATCAAACACATGTGTCTAAGAAGAATATGATCATCGTTTACGATGAAGCGTACAATGTTGAAGCCCCCCACCCCCACCCCTCCCCGGCCGGTCATGTGATCAGTAGTTGTTTACAACCTCGTTCTTTTGTTTCTGGGTAATTGTTGTGTCATGTATGAGGGTCACTCTGGATGGGGGTTCTTCATTTCTGTATTCTTTAATTCTTTAGGTCATTATTATCTATTCTTTATAATTTAGCATCCCATTATTATCTATTCTTTATTTTTTTTTACCTATTTTTCTTTATACTTAATTTTTTTGCCATTTATTCTGCACCTTTTGCTCATTTTTCTCTATTCTGTAAACCCTATCCAGTATTATTATAATAATGCAACTTCTACTTCTTTGTATTATGAATGAGTGAATGTATTTTCCACTTTACTGTATACATACTATCAACTGCATAAAACTTTTTGTGATGTATGTTTACACAGTTTTGGCTGCCGAATCCCAATTATTGTCACGTTAACCAATCATGTCTGTTTGGGTTGCTCACCCAATGTTGTTGATATAACGGGACTATAAAGATCTATAAACAACAGTCATACAAGCATGACAAGTGAGATGGTTAAGTTAGCCATAAAACCAGGTTTTACCCATAATTTTCCACAGAAGATGCCTGTACCAAGTCAAAATTTGTGAGACGTTACGAGCGATGTTCGTGCCTATAAGCGTAACAGACGTTATCGCTAAAATCGGACGTTTTTTAGGGTTCAGACGCTACAAAAATACTTCTAGAATAAGTAACGTTAATAACAATTGTACTATAATGATATGTATTCCCAATACAATAAATATGATCACTTTTTGCAAACCATTTGACCTCTTTTAAAATGATTCATTTCAATCTAATTCTAATACAGATAAAACGAGAACTGTGATCACGATCACCTCCCCTTTTCCCTCTCAAATTAAGATTATCTCAAGTAACAGTTGTCAGACTACATAATTATTTTTTATGCACATCTATGCACATAGTAAACTACACTAATGTAAAGTTTCATTGAAATCCAATAAACGTTTTAGAAAAAGTTGCGCTTACATAACAAGACTATATATTACCCTATATTGTAATATTTAACGAAGTGGTCTATCTTCCTGCATGGACATCTTTAGCTAGTGTACTACAACTACATGGCATTGTGTAAAGTTTCATTAATATCCGTCAAGTAATTTATAAGGATTACCGCTTACAAGGAAAATGGACAGACAGAAGGACAGGGTGATTCCTATATAGCTCAAACCTTTTTTGCTGGGGGATATAACGATATGTTTTTTTATGGAAAAAAGAGGTTTTAAACAATAACTTTATTGTGCTCCTTCCATTTCATCCAATACTGATAAAATGTCAAGATGTGTAGTTTCCAGAAGACTAAGAGTTCCACGCGTCGAACATTGAAGAGTTGGTGAAATGTAAATAACAGACGCAATGGAAATGATGGTATGTTTCTTATCCAATAGTTTATACGACAAAAGTTTTTTTGTTTGGTCAAAGTATAAACCACGAACAACTTTGGATCCCTTTACGTAAGTTACACCCCAATCATCGGTGGTGTCCTTTTTAAGAGTTTCGGGACAAGCGTCTGCTTTAAAAAGGTAATAATTTGAATCTGCTTCATCAGTGTAAACTGCCAGTATTGTGCCAAGCGCAATGAGGTCTTCCATTTCGTAATTTTCTGTGGATTCAGCGGGACTCGAATGGCGGGTTCGGTTGTTCTCGACAACTATCGGTATGGTCGCCTTACTTCCAATGGAATTATTTATGCAGTCTTTGTAAGTACCAACCAAACAGTTTTCACAAGAATAACATGACAGGTACCTAACTGTCAAATTAGCATCGTCCGAAGAAGAAAAAACCTGATGGAGACTTCTAATACCAGGAACGGGTTTAAAAGATATTGTATCACGATCTATACTCTCGACATATCTAAATATTCGGCGCTTACAATACAGTGACTTGGTGTCCTTCAAATGTTTCCCGCAATATTTAAAAAAATCTGCTGCAGATTGTATTATTTCGTTCCCGCGAAAAACAGCCATGTTTACTTGATTCTTTAAAAGCCCCCGGCTGCGTCCTGAGGTCCATTTGCGTGAGAAGTTTCGAAATAATTTCGAATGAAAAGTTCATATCCGTGTTTGGAACAATGTCGGTTAACATTCCAAAACAATTTCGTGACTTATACTGAACCGGACAACCGTCAGTAAACTCGTGAATAACTTTTACATCATATCGAATCGAATCTAAATACTCCTTGACAAGGGATTGAACTTTTTGGGTAAAAAATTGGTCATGTTTCTCATCCGGGCTTATTACAAAGAAATGCTCAGTGATAATACATGGAATATCCGGCAAACTTTCTACTCCGTCTACCTCCAGAATTGCATGTCGATAAATTACGGACACATCGATAGATACCTCAGTGCGCTGAAAATAAGTTTGTTGAAGTTCAAACTTTTCTTTGCAACCGTAGTTTTCGGAATAGTCATGAATTATAATACAGTGATTAGGTAATAAGTTTTCTTTCAAACATTTAAGTTGTGCATTTTGCCACTGAGCACGGAACTGATGTCCAGCGAATTTGTCTAAAAGTTCTCTAAAGTAATTAAACATATCACCCGGTTTAGTGCATTTTCTGACAAGTGTAAGTTTTTTCTTAGCATTCACAGTGATATATTCGTACCGTTCCCAAGATACATTGGAAGCATCATCCGAAACTTTCAACTCTTCGTCCGTAAATTTTAATAACGAAAGTCCACATTTACTACATTCACGATCTAAACACGCCTTCGAGTAAGAATTATTAACTTGATCCTTATCACATAGAGTAGCAACGGCGATATCAGTCAGGTGTTCATAAACAGGGTACAAGTTTTGCTCGAAATCTAAAATGTTAGGAATCGTGTATTTTTTTCTAAACTCCATTGTTTTTGAAAACAAAGATCTGGCTTCTACGTGGTAGCGACAACAGCACGTAACACGATCCTTTGGTCTTGCTGACCGGACAAAATACGGCTTTAATCTCTCAAATGTTCTTTGGTTCATTTTTATGTTTGGATTATTTATACAAAAGTCATTAAACACTTCAGTTTGAGATTTATCAAGTATATATATAGGATGTTTTAAGAATTGTTTGGGACCGATACGGATACGCTTCGTGTCATTTTTGTTTCCAGACGGACGGGATGTATTAGGATCTGTCCAAAAATTGTACGCGATTTTCTTTACATCGTCAGTAAAAGCATCTTTCCTCGTTTTTCTCTCAATATATGTCCAACATGACTTTTCAGAAGTAAATATTTGCGTACGTACTCTTTTTCCTTTCGATAGCCGTTTAAGGGGAAGTCCCAACTTTCTTGAAAGCAAAGTTTTCTTTCGTTCTTTAGTTATGTTTTTACCACTCGTGCTTGCTACGATTACACTTAATGCAGTTCTTGCCGAGTCAGATCTTGAAAATTTTGCCTGGTCGACTATCTCTTTAAGATCATTTAGAACAGCATTGCCAAGTTGAATGTCCGTTTTTTCTTCAGGCGTCACAACAAACTTTAATTTTTCAAGCGATTGAACAGTTGGGGAATGTTTATTGTCTAAATACGTGGCCATTACTGCTACTCTTTTCTTCGGTGTTGTAGGAAGTGCCCTCTTCATTGACTTTACAGCCCTGCTTTTCTCCATCTTATTCGAAAAAGTGTTTTTAATGTCATTTATAGTGTTTATAGTGGAAACTTTATTATGAGTTTTCCTATATTTTCTTTTCCGTTCAGTTTCATAAAGTCGTTTATCAGCTTTAAACTGCCTTTCTTTTCGTTTTCTCTTGGCCGCGGAAGTTTCGGAATAACCACAATTGTGACATTTTTGTTTTAATGCATTCATTCTGTCTTTTTTCTTCATTTCGTAGTTTTGTTTACACCTTTTTCTGTTTTTCTGTGCCTTTTTCTCCTTCCAAATTTCAAATGAAAGCAGACGTGCTTTTATTAACTGCAAATTAAAATCATTACCAAAACTTTATGATTGAGTTTTAAAAATGGAACGCTTGTTTAAAATAAGCCTCTTTAGTGTTAAAAGATAGAAACGCATAAAAGAAATGCTCGTACAATTACGCACCCAAGTTTTACTCGTTTTAAAAACTTTGAAAGTTCTGCACCCAAGTTAAAATTTGCGGGCAAAATAAAACATGCAATCTATTCCGCGTCGAGGGCAACACTTATTAATATCACGGAATAACAAAAAGGATCCGAAAAATCAGTAACATATAGATAAATCAAATCGTAGCTTTAAAAGTCTCTCTCTCTCTATATAGTTGAACAATGCATGCACCGACAATCGACTAAGTTGTGCGCTTGTTCTGTGTGTTATTATGGCGCCGCGTTTTTTTGTTGTTTTCACTATTCGAAACGACGTCAGGTTGCCGCCGTAATAAATTTGATGCGTGTGACATCTATTCATCATTTTTCAAACATTTTTTTTTCGGAAAGTACGAATGCTACGGAGATCAATATAGATATTTTAAAAAGACTAGAAAAATAACATGTCTATATTAGAATTTCATTGTCGACAATCAAGTGCAAAACTAAACATAGTTAACTTTAATACACCTTATCGCTATTTGTCCGCCATTACTGGCCATCACACAGGTTCCCGTAAAATTTTGACGTCACAATACAAAATATCTGACGCCACAATGAAAAAGTGATTGTTGTATGACGTCAATAGTTCAAGCGGGACAGATTCTCGGGTCAGCCGGGAATAGCGATAAGGTGTATTACGACTGTACGCAACATTTTTGTAAACAATGAACGTGTGACATTTTATTCACTAAATTTAAAAATTTAGCATCTTTTTTGTTTTTATGTTTGAACTAGTTTGCTTTTGAAATAAATCAATTATAGAAAAACAACATTATACTAGCTATATCATTTTCTCACCTGATGACATCATTTATCCCTATTTTTGAACTGTTTTCGTTAAAGTAGTTTCGGAAATGGAGATGGGACACAATGAAACTTTGCCGATTTGCCTGGCGAAACAGAATATGACGTCATTAGCCGTCATACAAATACGTCATAATGGGTTACCATTTAATGGCAATTCGCGGCAAAAAAAAATAAATGAAAATCGGCAAAAAAAGAAGGCGAAAAGAAGTTTTATACTTCAGTTTTCATTGTCAAATGTTACCCGGGACAACCCATTATTTCCTCAAAATCCAGAATCAAATGCTCATCAACTCGAACAAATGCGTTTTATGTTGTTTTAATGGAGATAAATGAACAAGGACATTTATATCCAGCACATTGATATCTTTGTTTTAATTAAAATACGTTTTTTTCTGCACCTGCAGCGCAGTTTTACTCACGAAACAAGCAAAAAACGTAAACGGTACGAACATCGCGCATAACGTCTGTTCAAACAGTTGTTTTCTATTTTTTCCTTTGGTTGATGTAGTTGAGCGTTTGATTTTGTAAGGTTATATGGACTTCTTCTTTTTGTATTTAGCTTGGAGCTCGATATGTTTGGTTGATAATACTTTTTTGCAAAGGCTGCGCATTGTCAATACGTTACCTTTAGAGATATATCGATCCATGTAGGTTCTTCGTTTTGGTGAATGTGCACAAGAGAGGAAGGACCTGCAAATAATAATGTTGTCAACCTTACTGATTTCTCTTGTACTGCTCACCGCTTCAAAACTTTAGCACTCGGCAATGAAATCACGATATTTACAGTAATTATTTTAATGCGCCGAGTGCGGATTTTGAAATTTTGATTTTTATCAAAAGTTAAATATTAGCAAAAAACCTAAAATAAGACCACAAAGAACAAGGCCAGGAAAACACGTTGTAGGAAAATTAATTTCCGCTTTTTTTTAGAATCAGATAAAAGACCTTTTGTCTTCGTCTTCCTTGTTTAAAATTGAAGGTCATTTTGCTGTCTAATTTATTGTAAATATCTTTTACCAGTAATAGCAGTCGCTATTATCAGAAAAGAGGAAGACCACGAAGTTTATAAGAAGATGATGTCTTAATGCATCTTTCTTAATAATAATAATCTAATTGGCCCAAATGAATGAATTTCGTCATAAGAGAAATTCTCCCGAAAATCTATTATGATATAGCCATAAAATATATATTATAAAATTATCCTTTCAACTTGTTTCTTTTCAAATTTCTGTTTATTCTGCTTATATTTTTTTCTAAATTACTGAGTTTTGTTTAGATATATTTGCTAATAGATAAACAACTGCCTTTTGTGAAGTCGGTTTGATTGTCAATAAATAGTTCTTTTAAACTTAGTTTTACTGTGCTTATTGCTGTGTGTTTGTTTATTCTACATTGACTAGAGGTATAGGGGGAGGGTAGAGATCTCACAAAACAAGTTTAATCCCGCCGCATTTTTGCGCCTGTCCCAAGTCAGGAGCCTCTGGCCTTTGTTAGTCTTGTAAGTTTTTTTAATTTTTAATTGGTTCATTTATATGTTTCGGAGTTTAGTTTGACGTCCATTTTCACTGAACTAGTACACATTTTTGTTTAGGGGCCAGCTGAAATCCGCCTCCGGGTGCGAGATTTTCTCGCTGTGTTGAAGACCCATTGGTGGCCTTGGGCTGTTTTCTACTCTTTGGTCGGGTTGTTGTCTCTTTGACACATTCCCTATTCCCATTCTGTTTTATTTTTGAAATAATGTGACGCCACAGTTTTATGAATTAAACAAACAGGATTTTTTTACCCAAATATCTTTGTCTCTTGATACACCATTAAATTATACCTTATAATAATAGAAATATACAAGTATCCACATCTAATGTAAAACTTACGTGTTGTGAAAATATACCGGATTACTGGTGTTTCGTCAGGTTTAACTTCAGGTAAATATATAAGAGTTTCACTTGCTATCCAAATAGGACTGTCACTAGACTCTATGGGAACTGAAAAGTCGAAAATTATATACATGAATAAAAAAAAAAAACCATATTAACATATATTGATCTACTAAAACTTACTGAACTATACATGGAAATAGATGAATTAAAGTATCTTGATACAATATATTTATGTTTTGAAATTGAAATCATCAAGTGGCCACCTGGTATTATTGGCGAGAGAAACAATATCTAATTTAATAACTTATAGGCAAGAAAAATGTTGACTCTGATTGCTTTTAATTTTCTCGAACTTTCGACTGGAAATTTGATACCTGCATTAGAACAATAATTTGAGACCCTATTCACATAGTTGTTTTGGCTTTAAATTAAAACATGTCGCGTAATTTTTTCATAATTACACTGCAGTCAGAGGTATTGTAGTTTAAATCTTACCATCATCATTCTGTGTGAAGTTTTGCTTTTTCGTCTCTGTCACAGCTTCATTGTTCTGTATCTGTGAATTATCGGCACTTTCATTCCCGTTTTCCTCTGGTTCGTTCCCGGTTTCATATTGGTCATTACTGGATTCATCAAATGGTTGATTACCGATGTCAGCTTGGTCGTCACTGGTTTCATCAAATGGTTGATTACCGATGTCATCTTGGTCGTCACTAGTTTCATCAAATGGTTGATTACCGATGTCAGTTTGGTCGTCACTAGTTTCATCAAATGGTTGATTACCGATGTCATCTTGGTCGTCACTAGTTTCATCAAATGGTTGATTACCGATGTCATCTTGGTCGTCACTAGTTTCATCAAATGGTTGATTACCGATGTCAGCTTGGTCGTCACTAGTTTCATCAAATGGTTGATTACCGATGTCATCTTCGTCGTCACTGGTTTCATCAAATGGTTGATTACCGATATCAGCTTGGTCGTCACTGGTTTCATCAAATGGTTGATTACCGATGTCATCTTGGTTGTCACTAGTTTCATTAAATGGTTGATTACCGATGTCATCTTGGTCGTTACTGGTTCTATCTTCCTTGACTTCATCTAAAATATGTGAAGAATTGTTGAAAAGAAATTACGTTTAAGTGCATTGTGTTTGTCCCATGCACATGAAATATAAGCAGAACTCTGAATGCGTTGTTTTTAAATTTTGACATTATAACTATAAGTAAAATGAGTTTGCTTAGTGAAAAAAATAATGGCCAAAGCAAAACTTTGAGTTGACAAAAGTGTTTACCAAGAGTTCCGGAACTTCTAGCAGAGGTTTTGGACTTGAACAATGATCCTGAATACATGAGTTAATTTTCAACTGGGTTTTAGGGTTTCATTGTTCATCGATATCTCTTTTTTTAAAGTTTAATGCATCCCCATACGCTCTTCAACTTCGTGCTATATTTGGCCTTTTATTTTTTTTTATTCGAGCGTCACGGATGAGTCTTTTGTAGACGAAACGTGCGTATGGCGTACATTTTTTTTTATCTTAGTATCTATGATGGATTTACTTATACTCTTTCCTACATATTATAGTCACTATCAACACAAACCTGTATCTTCACATGGAACGCCTTCTTCTTCCGGATAGTGATATTCCCCTCTCATGTTTTCAATGTCTTCCCAAAAATTTAACTCTGAAATTGACTTGGCATCTTTTTTGAATTCGTTAAACAAATTCCTGGTAGCAGCCTCTATAATAAAACAGACAGTTCATATCATCAATTACTCGAAAACAAAAACAACAAAAAAACTAGAGGCTGTAAAGAGCTCACCTAGGTCTATGTGCATAATCAACAACAAACTCTCTCGAACATCCTCCACTTGTCTAAAATGTAGATCTTGTCTTGCTGATCATTTTTGCTTCTTTAAGTTTCTATCTATCTATTATAATTTTTAAGATATAAGGCAAAAACGCAAAAAATTGGTAAAAATCGTCATCAAAGGGCAATAACTCTAATTAGGAGTCGAATGACGATTTCGACCATGCATACTTATTCGTAGATCTTGTCTTGTTGATCATTTTTGCAACATAAAGTTTCTCTCTATCTATTATAGTTTTCAAATCAATTATATCACTCAATACACCTCTATTAGTTACTTTGTAAATTCAGTGTATAAAAAATCATTTTCAGTTTTGGGCTAAATTGTTGATGCTTAACCAGTACATGTATAAACAGGAAGTACACGTCAATGAACATATTTAGATCCATACACCATAGTCTATAAAATAGATTTGCTACAAGTACATGATAAGATATAATCGCAAGTTTATGAAAATTGTTCAAATTGCGTCAGTTTGGACATATTTTCATACAGCTTCTCAAAATTCAGGGTAGTTTGGGATTCAGTATTCTCATCCATGACAAGCAAAGTCAGAGGTCTATTTTTAAAAAAGTCTTTCACAAAGCTCTTTTTAGAGTACCCGCTAATTTTTAGTAACTGGAAATACTAATTGTTTTCCCCTTTTGGTCAATATAAAAGTAAGAAGATGTGATATAATTGCCAAAGAGACAACACTCAACCAGAGACCAAAATGACATAGAAGTCACCAAATATAGGCCACCATACGGCCTTCAACAATGAACATAGTCAGCATACTGCATATTCAGCTATAAAAGGTACCGAAATGACAAATGTAAAACAAGTCAAACGAGAAAACTAACGGCTTGATTTATGTACAAAACAATGAACGAAAAACAAATATGATATACAGCATACCGAATTACAAACCTGATCTTCTGTACAAATCTTCGTAATTTCGTCTGTATGAGTCTTCTTGGATTTTTTCTGTTTTCGCCCAGAATTCTTTTTCATCTTTGGTGATAGAGTTCTTTTTAAACTGAGAAATAAGCCTTTTCTTCTCTAATTCTAAAATCTCATTTACATTATGGAAGTCAGCCATCTAAAATGGACCCGGAAAAATAAGACAAAAATTCTTCAAAAATATTAATCGTGGCATCATTTTCTCATATAATATTACAAAAATTAAAAACAAATGTCTTATATAATTTTAAATTAATTGTTTTAAGTTGGTTTTGAATTTCCTTTGGAGTTTGGCATTTTTGTCATTTTACTTTTTACTACCTCAGTGATCAATTCTGCGTAATACAAAACTTTACACTAAGTCCATTTGGAATTTGATCTGATTGATATTTCAGTCTTAAATACATGATTTATTTTATAAGTTGTTATTGGCTTTGAACCAGCTGTCAGTAACTGCGAGTACTCTCAGATCTGTACTTTGTGCCTTTTTTGTTGTGAGAGACGTATAAATATCCTTCCACGTCCGGTCTGTGTTTTGGTTTGATGTCTTTCTGTTTTGTATCGATCTGATGAGTTAAACCCTTTTTAACTGATTTTTATAGTTCGGTACTTATGTTGTGCTGTTACACCACTGTCTCAGGTTAGGGGAGGGTTGAGCGTTCACAAACATGTTTAACCCCACCACATGCTTTATGTGCCTGTCCCAAGCCAGGACAGGAGCCTATAGTTCAGTGGTTGTCGTTGGTTCATGTCTGTCATATTTGTTTTTCGTAAATTGCTATGTTATAAATTAGTAGAAAAACAAAGGATGTGGGGAATCTATCCATAACTCAAAATAAGTACATGCACATTACACAATCCAACTAACAGGCATTAGTTTTCTCAGTTAAATTGTTTCATATTTAAAATGTGGGGCCTTTTGATAGCGGACTATACAGTATGGGTTTGTCTCATTGTTGAAGGCCGTACCGTTGCCAATAATTGCTTACATCCACTTCATGTTTCTAGTCTTCACCCCTAATTTTATGTAAACTTCATGTACAAAGTGTTTTTGTTAATAAAATGCAATCCTGCTAAGGATACGGTTGGACACGAGTAGGATTTAAAGATTCATTTCCTTGAAGATAACAAGAGTCTCGGTGGAGATCGTCCTAAACTTAATTAAAGTATTGCTAAATAAATTATTATAATACTACAGGGATTTTATTTAGATTAATGATTTTTGTAATGTTTCTCACGGTATTTTTCTATTTAACAGTTTTAGCACTATTTTTGACTTTTAACTGATTGACCTTTAATTTTTGGTGAACATATGGAATTCATGTCTGTTATGCTGTTGCTTCAAGTTGCATCGTTCTACATAAGCGTGAAAAAAATACCCGCTGCAAATCATGTTAAATTGAGTAACATACCTTCATTGCAATTATCTGTCCTATTCACAATAAAGACTCCAGTAATACTTTGCAAACAAATTCTTATAGAAATATACAACGATCCGTGTGTCAATCTGTGTCGATCCTTTACAACGTTAAAGACGTTGCCATTGGCGTAACTGTGACGTTATTTATATTGTTCTATATGTACTTCCGAAAAGTAACCGAAACTGCACAAAACACGCTACATAAATAAATCATTGAAACTTCTTTATCATTGTCCGGTACTTCAGTTAAGTTATTTGAAAATATAAATCACGGACAATGAGAGGCGAAATGTACAAACACAAGTGTACCATCTTACGGTGTTTATATTTCACAACTCGTTCGCTAATATATGCCCGTGTCTGTTGTAACGTTTCACAGATATAAAGATTTGGTTTTGAAGTTTGGTTGTACCTGTAGAAAACTTATTTCAAACGGGATTGCACATCCTCATTTTTACGGCAATATTGTTTACCGTGCACGGAAATTTAGAAACGATCCTGGTAAACTTATCGATCCTTTAAATAAACTTGTTCTAAAAGGTTACCAATTCAACATTGTAATTAGAACATTAAGTATTGTTTTTATTGGTACTAATATTGATTTTTGGGTAAATTAAAAGCAAACGAAATATTATTGCGTAAACCCCTGAGGGTTTACGCAGTATATACATATACACATTCATGGCTCTACAATCTGTCGATACCTGTATCTTGACATTGCACAAAGTCATGTTTTTCTCTGACTGTTTATGACGTCTTTACACTAAATCCATTGGATGTTGGATGTGTACGGATTGATAATTTAGTCTTAGATGCATGCATTTTTTTATTAGTTGTAAGTGGCTTTGAACTAGCTGTCAGTAACTGTGAGTACTCTCAGATATGTACTTAGTGTCTTTTTGTTGTTTGGATGTACAAGTGGCTGGCCATGTCCACTTGTATTTGTAGTATTTGTATTTTTATCCACCTGATGAGTTAAGCCTCTTTCAACTGATTTTTATAGTTCGTTCTTATGTTGTACTGTTACACCACTGTCCCAGGTTAGGGGGAGGGTTGGGATCCCGCTAACATGTTTAACCCCGCCACATTATGTATGTATGTGCCTGTCCCAAGTCAGGATCCTGTAATTCAGTGGTTGTCGTTTGTTTATGTGTTACATATTTGTTATTCGTTCATTTTTTGTACATAAATTAGGCCGTTAGTTTTCTCGTTTGAATTGTTTTACATTGTCATTTCGGGGCATTTTATAGCTGACTGTGCAGTATGGGCTTTGCTCATTGTTGAAGGCCGTACGGTGACCTATAGTTGTTAATTTCTGTGTCATTTGGTCTCTTGTGGAGAGTTGTCTCATTGGCAATCATACCACATCTTCTTTTTTATATTTATTTGTCATGTTGTTTATATGTTCTCCCCAAGCAGTGATCTATGATCTAAGATAATCAACAACGCAATTTCTGCGTACCTTGTATTCAATTTCATTAATTGGAAAATGCATTGCCTTGTATCGTTTGTTTTGTTGCCCGTTTAACTTTCTAGTTACCATAAACATTGCAAAACAGAAGTGAATACCAGATATCAATGTTCTTTTCGACATATAACATTGTTATTGCTACATACACGGGTAGTAACCTCGTCATATCGAGAAGCGTTTAGTACAGTGATTTTGTCATAGTTTGGTTAAGATGAACACGGTTGTGTTAAGTTACTTCCGCGAACGATTGCCTCAGTTCTATTCAAATGAGCAAATAAAAAGCAAATAAGATGTTTTAATTTGCATTGTTATCTAAACGATCTACATTGGAATTGTTGTTTTCAAGAAACTAACGCAGAATAAGCAAACTATCGAAATTTTTATGGTTTGGTTAAGTTATGACATGGTTCGGTTAAGTGTCTAGAAATTCGTCATGGTTTTGATCAAGTTTGTCATGGTGAAGACCTGTTGGTGACCTTCTGCTGTTGTCTGTTCTATGGTCGGGTTGTTGTCTCTTTGACACATTCCCCATTTCCATTCTCAATTTTATTTAGATCCAAATTAATATGTATGTGTTTCAGCTCAATATTGATAGTTTGTTTAAAAACGCTTGTAATTAAACGAAGTTACACAATTTACCAACTGACTAAGAAGAAATCTGAGGTTACTACCCGTGACATATATAATTAACAAACAGAGACACTTGTTATCTTCTTCTTCTTTTTCTTCTTCCAAGCTAAAAGTTGCGCATAATTAAAAACTGGTTAAAACGATATTGCTGATATGGTTGTTTAGTGGTATTGGCTAATTGAAACTTGAATATCTCAATTGACTTTATTCTTGCGATATCCGGAGGCAGTTTGTTCCAGTCCTTGATGCTGTTTACGAAGGAACACTTTCTACAGTCTTTTTGTAGCTGGTTGTAATAAGTATGTATGATTTCCTGTGCGA